AGAAGGACTATTTGTGACACAGTGCCAAATATGTTACCGAATTTACAAATACTGTATGCTCAAGCACCATTTGATTCCCAGAATCCGTCCGAGCTTCTTGTGTTAACAGTATTTGTGACACTAGACCTCTCTCCTTTCAAACTATTTTGCGCCTCGTGAAAGAGTTCATTCAGTAAGCCTTCCCATTCACTCAATCACTTGACATTTCAACACTTTTAGAACTATGAACAACAGCACTACTTGTCTACACAGTCATGTGTTCATTCCACCTCCTTTCTCGAGAAATTAGAAAAGCTGTGGCCCTTTTTTCATCTCTTTTGGCATTCGGTTGGAATTCTTCAGGTTGCTGAGTTACTGGCAGAGAACATTTGTGAGTTCCCATACCTCAGTGTATATAACTTTTCTCTCACTAAGCCAGAATTTATTTGAATAATTCGTTTCACCATGGTGAATTATATTCGTCAGTTTGGTTGTTTATCAGTGTGCATATCTAAGGCTACGAGAACTCTGAAATTTGCTGGTGAGTTAGTTCCATACCTAACGATCTCGTTCTCGGATTACATTGCAAAATTTTGACATTTTACGAAATTTCTTCTCATAATTGTTGCCTAAAGATAATCGACAAATATACAGTCCATATGGCCTGAGCCTATTGATCTATCATCTGCCAATAATGTATTTAAGGTAGTCAACTGTTTATAAGTTCTTGTAACTTTTGATGATTGTTATGGCAGTTATCCAAGTTTCAGTTCCGTAAAACAGAATTGCCTTCACGTTTGTATTGGAAATTTTGACTTTGATGTTGGGTGACAGTTGTTTTAAGTCCCAAATCTTCTTCATTTGTAGGGATGCTCACCTTACTTTGCATATCCATGCCCGATCCTCCTTGTTTATCAATCATGCTGTACAGGTACTTGAAGCTTTCCACCTTTTCCAGAGATTTTCCGTCAAGTGTGACTGAGCTGATATACTCTCTGTCGTTTTGAGGACCTTGCTTTTTTTCATGTTTATGTTGAGACCTACTGCTGTAGAGGATGACGATACGTTGATTGTGTCCAGCATTTGTTGCTGTTCACGGTATTGAACGGTTAGGTTTGAACCGGAAAGCTAAATCCAAGTTGTCCATTGTATTCTGTGCTTACCCTCAAAATGTGGAGGTCTTGATAACCCAGTCGACCCCCAGAAGAAAGGGAAAGTGAGAGTTTTGTGTCTTTATGGCCCGCTAGTTATCACGTAATTTATTCGGCAATCAAAATGCGACTTATTCGCTCTTGTACTGTACTAAACCAATGACGTTCGTTCGGTCTGATCAGCTTCGCGTTATATTGGTCCGCTGCTCGCCTAGCCCGTCCAGCTGAGTTCAGAATGCCAACAACAGCATCTACTATGCGAATCGTTTATTTTAGACATATTTGGTTTGTATATCAGCCAAACAGAACGCAAAGCACCATAAAATAAGAAATAACATTTATACTCAATAAAGCCAAAATGTGTCTGTGAGCATGGAAGAAAGTAATTAATAAACTGAGTATAATTTAATAACAGCAAATCGTATAATAATAAATTATCGGTCAAGATGAAGCTCATAATAAGAGGAATGTAAACATACATAATATAATTACTGAATAGTTATACCATAAGAATGTATAGATAATATTTGTCTAATAAAAGGTCTCAGAAGTTACTCGTAATTTAATCTTCGCTAGGATATAACAGAGAGGGTAAGTAATCTTGTCGGCCACTGGTTCTCACTTGTAAAACGTCTGTCAGCTGTCTCCAATGCAGGACTTTTCAGTGTAGTCCGTCGTGTGAATTCCGTATGGCATTGACAATTATCTCAGCTACCCACTACATAGTGTCGAAAAAGGTTCCATGAGGTTCTCCTATCTACACTGTCAAATGCCTTCTTATAGTCAATAAAGTTGGTGTATAGTGTTAAGTTCCACTCATTTGAATGTTCAACGATGGTATGTAGTGTCATAAATTCGTCTATGCACAACTGATCTCTACAGAATCTAACCTGCTGGTCTCGAAGTTCGGCGTCTACTGAGTCATTTACCTGATCCAGCAACACTGTTGTAAAAGTTTCATGGTGCCAATAGTAGTGTCGCTCCTCCGTAGTCCGACCAGTCGTTCAGATCTCCTTTCTTTGGTATCTTGATGAGGTGTCCTATTTTCCACTTTGTCGGTGGTACTTATTATTCCCCCCGAATCCTCCTGAATAGAATGTGGGACATGATTGTAGTTACATTTAAGTCTGAATTCAGAGATTCGGCTGGTATATTGTCAATTCCTACTGTTTTCCCATTCTTCATTTTTCTTATGGCTATCCTGATTTTTTCGATCGTTGGTGGAGTGACATCTCTAGAAGGGTCTGTAGGTACTGCTACGATATCCGGTGGATTCATTGGAGTTGGTCTACTCAAGAGTTCCTCGAAGTGTTCCAGCCGTCTGCTCCTCTGTCCTTGAATTTGAGTGATTAGCTTGCCCTCCTTGTCCTTGACCGGTCTCTTTGAATTACCATTTTTCCCTGCTGGTTTCTTTTTCGTGTCATATAGTTGTTTGATATTTCCCCCTTGCAGTTTTTTCCGCTGTCGTTGTTAGGTCTTCCATGCATCACTGCTTTTAGATTATCATGCTCCTCTTTACTTGCTTGTCCGCTGCCTATTCAGTCTGTGCCCTGACTTTCACTGTTCTTGTTCGTCTGTTGTTGATTGCCGCATTCTCGTTCTTCCTTTCTCGAATCTTGTCCAGGGTTTTCATAGAGACCCGTTCTTTATGATGATGCTTGTTACGGCTCAGAACCAAGTGAAACGTTAAACTTAGTTCTTCTTTGGAAAACATCGGTGCAACGCCTTGTGTTTGCAAGGCAGTTGGTTTCTTCATGATCAGAGTACAACAGCGTCTCCCCCGAAGTAGTTTTTTCGTCCATCTTGGGTCCAATGGGTCTTACTTATTTAAAGAATCGCCAAGCTTTTTCACCCCTGAGAGTATTGTACACCAATTACCTGCAATAAGAGTCTTAGATACGAATGTCTACATTAATACAGTTAAATGAGGATCTACATTAACAAGCTTGAACTTTTAGTATAGGCGTTACAGTATTTCGCCTTACAGCCATAACAATTTCCAAGCCATAGAACTAAACAAGACAAGACTTGCGCATCTCTGTAGTGTAAGGCTACCCTATCTGGTAGTTTTCAGAGAACTATTTAGATCTCTTGGTGAACACTGATTGTTTGACTACTGAACTAAGAAAATAGAAATACTCACCTTTGGTGAGAAAAGCTCTACTATAATTTTTAAAATAATGTCTACTATTAAACATTCGAGAGAGAGTTGGCATAAAACTCTGTTTTTCCTGAAATTTGTTTTGTACAGTGAAAGAAACAGGTGACAGTGTGGTGTGCACTACGTGTAAGGACAAATATAAGTCGTACGCATCGGCAATCGAGAGTAGAATTTTAACAGACAGAAGGGGAAAATGAATAGAAGAGAAAGGAAAACAGAAAGCAATCAAAATAATAACAGTGGTGGAAGAAAAATAGGGTTTGTAAAAGACAACTCAAGAAAGGTGAGCAAATTAAGCATTTAATGTAACGTTTTCGTATTGTATAATAAATCGATCCACTAATCAAGAATTCGTTCATTACAACATTTAACATGGTTCAAAAAGTTCCTTATGTTCATAAATTTCGGGAAAAAACAGGCGAGAACAAGTTATTTGCGTATTTATATCTGTTAAGCGAGTGAGGTTATCTGCAACATTTCCAAAGGGTGTGTCCAACATCTGGTCATTTTTCCGTTCATTCTAGTGGGAAAGTATCACACACAAAAGTGTATTCTTCATCAGGAATTTACTTTAGGAGTACTAACTCTCACTCTGTTTACATTTACTATCCACTGAGACAAAATGAAATGTTCACACCAGTCGGTTTTAAATAACGCCAGACGTTTGCAGTAAAACCGTTGGTAAAGTTTACACTCTAACATGTAGTACTCATTGATTAAATGGGAGGAGAAATGATCGAAATTCCTGAATACAACACACTTTCACAACATTGAAAACATTACTCATAACCTCAACCGTGTTTCTGATATGGTCAAGTTTAAAAATAAATAATATCCAGTTCAATGTACAATTAATAAGAATGGCTTAAAGAAAATTATATTTGTTTTTTGATGAAAAATGATTTAATCATTGATAAAATTGTCAAACAAATAATACCCTAATACTTTTCTTCACGTAAATGGTTTAATACATAAAATAAGTTTAGGATAAACAACTATTTTCTTCTGTTAACCTATTGAACAAAGAAATTACACACCAAAAGGAATATGATATTTTACATATGATAAAAACAGTAAGAAAAAGGTGTTTCTTTTTATTGGAACATTATTTTGCCGCCAAAATACTTTAAAAGGATACATGATACGTACTACTTAACAATGATATTTGAAAAAAAGACGAAATGAAAAATAACCCATACACAAACATGTAATAACAGACAAAAGTGAGAAAAACAAAGGTGTACAAAGAGGAGGGAGAACAAAAAGAAATTTAGGGCAAGGAGTGATGATGCGTTAAAATATGAAATCAAGTTGGATAGATATAATGCTAAGAGTATACTTTAGGGATGAATTGAAATAATTGTCATTGACAAGTCCATATATATTCTCGCTCCAAATTGAAAATCTTTTATTGACAGACCAAATCCATATTAAATCTATCTTTAGAAATAGTTAAGGCACGATAAATAAATCGTGTGATAAAATAACCAAATAAGAAGTATAATATTCAATGTTTACATAATGATAATATGGTATCAGTAAATGTCTTCTTTTTTTTATTATAAAAAAAATGATTAAATGAAATAAATCAGTTGACTAAGTGTATGTTTTAAACAATCAATCATCATAAACCTAATTTCTTGTTTAAATTGATAGAGCTGAACCATTTATGTTCATTTGTTGCCAATTAGACATTTCAAATTCCAATATTATTTATTAGTTAAGATAAGGCGTTCACTGATTTGATCAAGCATAACTTGTATATTGTGCATAGCTTCCAAATCTGGATCAGAATTAGAATTGACACTATAAAAATTATGTATAAATAAAACATATAAGGGGATGATTATTTATGACAAGAAAAGGGATGGAACATCTTATTGAGTAAATTAGAATAAAACGTTTTGTGATTGGTTATTGTAATTTAGTTGGGATAACCAACTAGTCAACTTAAATTTACTGAGATTTTTCAAGGATATAAGATGATTGAATTTATGAAAACAAAATATTGTCTGTAAGAGGTTTGTATTAGTAAGATGTTGTTACAAATTTTAAGAAGGTTATCTGTTGTAACTTTAAGCCCGGCTAGTTATCACGTGATTTATTCACCAATCGAAATACAACGTATACAGTCTTAGTACTGCTGTTCCAAACAAATGATGTTTGACCAGTATGAGCAGGATAGCGTCCTTATTGATCCTTTATTCATCTAGCCCGTTCATTTGAGTCCAGAACACCAATACCAGCTAACACTATGCGAATCATATTTTAAACATACTGTGTTTATATATCGACCAAACAGACCGCATAACTCCATAAAATAGAAATAAACATTTATGCTAAATCAAGCGGAAAAGTGGCTGTGATTGTGGGAGACTGTAATCAATAAACTGAATATAACTTAAGAACAGTAAGTCGTATAATAATAATCTATAGATCAAAATGAAGCTTATAATTAGAGGAAGGTAGATATATATAATCTAGGTACTGAATATTTGTACAATAGGAATATATATATATATATATATATATATATATATATATTCACAAGCAATATTGTTCATTATGTAGTATTATTATGCTGTCTTTCCTTACGAATAACACCGTTAGCAACTCAAGAGAATCCTCAATCAGTGATCAATTTACATTCTGTTTCAGTAGTCTTTCTATCCTCATTCGAATTTATAGAGACAACTAATTGTGTAGAATAGTTTATTCTTAAGAGGTTTCCAGGATGAAAAGCAATGATACGGAAGTTAAACAAGGATTTTTAAATTAACGTCATTCTTCTAAATGCACACATTTGACCATACAGCAATTAACCTCCGAAGTTTCTATTATAATTTGAATCTGGTACTTATAAATTCAAATACAACAATGTTGTGCACTAGGGTATGATATTCAGATAATAAAGGGAACTATGTGTTTGAAATTTGTTAAATGGTTTGTATTCACCCGTCGTTTATATAGAGGATTCAGTACGGACATCAATAATGAAGTACGCAGCTGATAAGTCTTTAGTAGAACGGAATGTGTTTTTTAAATTCCATTTCTAACCACTCTCAACTTGTCAGCGTGATTAATAATGTGGCTTTCATTCAGTGTGCGCATTTGTACATAAAGGTTTATCAATTTATTTCTGAGTCACAGCAATAAAAAATCGAAATGAAAATCCTGACAGTAAACAATATTTATTTCATTTCACAAGCTGTCGAAGCTAAGACTGTTTAGGATATTTATATTCAGTACAGTTACCTATCTTAAAACTCATTATCCTGACTAACCTAAACTAATGTATTAGCTACAACAGAATAATTCACTTGTATTGGTTGTTGAAATCTTTCCATTAATAATAAATATATTTTTGTTATATCCTAACGAATAGAAAAAAATTGTATTTCCAAGTGCAAATGTAACTTTTCATTGATGTTCAGGTCTGCAATTGATCAGTCTCTAAATGGCATATGTTCATTCTGTGCAGATTGCCCCGATAATGCTATTAATTCACAAACATTGCAGGCGGAGATGAATGGTGGCTAGCAATGGAATTTATGACGCCTATTTCGTTGTATCTGCGTTCCAGAGTTGAAATTAACTCCAGGACTCTAACTCAGTACTGCTAGCATCAAACCTCATCGGGTTGTACTCATGAGATGCATATATTCCAACCAAAACTTATCGATTCCAATCCTAAACATCAATCGGAATATTTAGACAACCAATAAAAATAAATCAGAAACTTCACGCTCATGCATCAGTCAGCAGTTATCTGAACTTGGTATCTAAGTGAATAATAAGACTGCGTTTGAGGTGAATGGTACTGGGGTCAAGTCCCGAATTGAACGTCAGTTCTGAGAGTCAGACTCATCTAGCTGACGAGCCCCAAATAGGATGGAGTTCGCGTTCCGGATTTCACGGCCAAACTTCAACAGAATATCTTTGAAACAACACGATATATTTCGAATCAACTTAAAAAAATTGTTTCAAAATGTTTAACTTACTTGATTGGAAGTCGTAGTTGTGGCGTTGTTAAAAGACCTAATCAAGAAAAAATATCAATAACTGACATTTAAAGGTTGACAAAACACATCAAGAAACTTTCGTTGTAAATTGTGTGTTCAATCATAACAACTTATCACAAAAATCTGATGTATATGATCTCAACATAAACTTAACTAACTGGATGTTTGTTTATTCCAAGATAAAACAATCTGACAATTTAGTAGAATTATTCATTGTATACATGTTGTTGTTCATTTCAATTCTATTAAAATTCGCCATAGACTGAGTCTTTAGGAATATCAGTAAAACCCAGTGAATACTGGATTCAGATAAAAGGATGAGCTGAGATTCGGAAACTTTAACAGCTGCCAACTCAATCTTAAGATATTTGCAACAAAAGTAGGAAATCGCAACAATTAAAATGGTTGGTTGCCAAAATATTTTTAAAAAAAAATTTATAAGTATACAATCTTAATTTGTCAACACATAAAATGTACTTGAGTAGAGTAATGCTAAACTGTAGCCACTAATTCCTCAGTATACTTCATTCTCATCAATATTCAAGTTTGTGACTGACATATCGGTAAAGTATGATGTTAGGTAGTCGAGTGCAACTCATAGAAATCCTTGGTTGATCTATTTATCATGTTATTTGGTACTTATCAGAAAGATATACCAATTACCTCAAAAAACTAATGTTCTCCGTACAATTTAGACTCTAAACCTCTACAGTCACGATAAGAGACATAATTACTGATATTTTCATACGTCAAGTGACCTTTTTTAGGACAAGAAGATTAACTGGTCACTTAGTTTGTTTGGTTAGTCTATAGAGTTTACCAAGTTCTTTCTACATATTTCAATCCCAATCAATCACACAACATTAAACACAGTAGACCTCAATGTTTGTCCATACATATTTACGACCAAACCGCGATGTGATAAATGGAATTCAATCAGAAACAAGGACTTCATGAATATGACACAATGTGGCATCCCATAAATTTGATTACATCAGAAGAAAATTACTTTCAATGAACTATACTACTTAAATAGTATAAAACATAAAACGAAGACATCTTGTCCAATCTTAGCTAACCTTTATCTAAACACTAATGGGTAACAATATATATGCATTGATTAATGGACCGATCGAAAACAGAAATGAAGAAAATGTAATTAGTCATAAAACATTGAATTATTTAGAATAAATTTATTCTTCCCATGATGCTACATCTATACGACCATAAATAAATGGATATAAATTTTATATGAATTTATATTACTGTATAATGCATTAAGTGAAAGTAATAGACAGAGAAATGATTCATCATCATCATCATCATCACCACCATCGTCAGTTTAATGAACATATACATTTAGTAAATTAGAATTAGGTTTCTTGGGAAACCCAGTAAGATGAAAATAATCAAGTTATTATTATCAACTTATTATAAACAATATTGAAATCTTTCAATATGTGTTTATCTAATAAAAAAAATATATTTATGTAAAAAAGGGCTGGAGGAAGAACAAAAACATTTATGTGGTGGTTGGAGGTAGTCAACAGGAAACCCTGGACCCGGGTTTCGTGCTACTTGGCACTCGTCAGCAAGGTGTACCTGTAATCTTGAGGGAACTAGTGCTCCCTGGCGGATTCAATCTCGTGTCACTCAGCTTCACAGTCAGAGACGTTGCCACTAAGCTATCCGGGCCGAGACTGACCTCCTGTAGGACTGAGATGTAATCACAGTTGATTGATCACTGGGTGGTGTTCAATGCCATGCGTGTCTAGTCCTTGTTAGTGCAGATCGAATGCTCTCGATCATGTTGCAATGTGGCCAATCTTGGAAGGAAAACAAGGGGGAGAATAATCAAAATCTTCTTTTGTCTTTTCATTTCCTCCTCACTGTCACGTCATCATCATCATCATCATACAAATTAATTTAAGTTATCTACTAGATAGTGACTCAGTAGCCTGAAGACTACAGACATTCTATTAAGATCTGACAGTCTCCAGTTCGGTTAAAGAAGCAAAGAATCGTATTAATTTTGTCATTTGAGATTAATTCTCAACTTATTTTCATCATGCAATTATATCAGTTGAAAAGTTATATAAGGAGGGACTGAAGATTGTATCTTATTATTATATTAAATTTACAAGTACTATGAATCCACAGATCTAAAGCAGCTGTAATCTAAAACTTCCAGACTACCTAGTAACCGTAACATTGAGAAAGGTTTTTAAAATCCCGATAATTCACAGTTTTCACTTCATTCAACTCTTAAGTACCATCCATTGACTAACTGGAAAGTCCCAAACTATAATGAAATCCCAGTCACATGTGTCCTAGTTTTTATTAAAACTTGAACTGATATCATTTCGTTCGGAAAACTGTATTCATAATACACAAATTCTTATGAATTGCCTATAACTGTGAAAACTGTGTATTCACTCTAATGACCGGATATTAATTAAAGTTTTTGAGTTTCATAGAGAATAGAGTCAACTGTGCCAAGGAATGATGCTATTATCTATAACAAGTGACTTGAATTGAAAATATAGACAGTGTGTTTCTCACTATGATATCTAAAACTGTTGAACATTATCTGATGTAAAGTAGAAGTACTTTTAAAATAGTCTTGTAACTAGAATAAATAAGGTAATCCAATCAGTCTAAAAACTCATTCGTTTGCAATGAAAATCATCTTTAGAAAACGAATAGTACATCGAATATATATGTACATACGTTATTCCAATCCTTTCTCATATCGTAGTTAGGGTGTTGTTTATGAAAACGAGACGACGAAAAGCGAATGTCCAGCGCTTTAACCGGATCCCAAACCAATGGTGCACATGGGCTCCAGTATCCTAAAGGAACAAATGGCGTATGAACCAATCGTTGGTCACCGGCTACCATGGGAATGCATCTCCTCACGATGCTCCACTGCCTTGTTGGTTAGACCTTAAGGTCTAAGGCTCGGGGAGTGGCCCCCTAAGAAAACCACCTGCTTCGATCTGGGCACCCGAGCAGTATCACAGCCCACACACACACAAATATGGTGTGGCGCATATATATTTTGTGCCCTCTTGTACCAATATTTATGTGTTGAAATAAATAATAAAAGTTAATTTATAAAAGAAATTTATTAGATTCCTAAATAATTATTAACTGCATATTTAAGATCAGAATACTTTAGAAAAAGGGTCATTAGACACTTGTTTGAATATGAGAATATTCAAGTAAATTGAGACATATAATGAGTGAAATCAGCCCTCAGTTAGGAAAATTATATATGATCAAATATTAAAAGGATAGTATATTTTACAGATTGTAATGGAATAGGGGAGTCACTGAAAATAAAGTTGAACTGAATAGGTTTTAGCATTTTACATTTTGACTTTGAATCATTTTAGATCCATGATACACTTTTAAGTTTCTTAATAAGTATGATATCTTTAGATTAATGAGTTAGAATTCGAATAGTTTACACATAAGGTTTTGTTCAATTGGTGAATATTTATTTTAATAGTTGAGATCATGAGTCATTTGAAGCTAGATCACTATGGAAAACTTGGAAGCACTAAACGGCTGTTTCGTCCTATTGTGGGCCTCATCAGCAGTGTATATCCATGATCTCACCTCGTGAGATTCGAACTCAAGACCTATCAGTCTCGCACGCGAACTCTTAACCTCTAAATCACTGAGCTGACCGGTATTCAATGATGTTACAGTCTAATTTCAACTAATCCACGAAATCGAGTGACACATCCACCATTGTTTTCAGTGAGTTACTATCTTACAACAGACCCGCTTGAATTCAGTTGCTGAAAAAGCAGGTAACTAAATTAATTCAACCAAGTAACGTTAACAAGTTTCTCATATAAACTGAACAATCATTTTTCAAATAAAATAACATTATCGAGCATTGATTATGTAACACTATGTTACAAGTAACTTTTATATTATAAAAACAAAAAATCTTTTTTTCATTTAATCAAATCTTAGGAATTGAATTTTAGCTAAAATCTATTTCTATGTCAAAACGATTAATCAAAAAAGCAATCCTACCTCTTTATAGTTAAATTGTTAATGTAATCAAAAATCTTTATACTACTACTACTACTACTACTACTACTACTACTACTACTACTACTACTATTACTACTACTACTACTACTACCACTACTACTATTACTACTACTACTACTACTACTACTACTACTACTACTAACCTGAGGACCATTTTGATAAATCGCTAGTATTTTGTACAGGATCATTAGGTTTCAGTGAATATAATGTAGGATTGGAAGAACGCCTTTGAAATATCTTCGATTGTCCAACTTTATTCAATTGTTCTTCTTTATGATACTCAGAATTACTAAAGCGTACAGATGTTGAATTTTTGTTTAATAATGTGTTATCCATATTTATGGGATTATGAATATTACACAATGAATGAGAAGATTGAACATTGTTATTAACTATAGTAGTACATGATGAAAGATTAGATCTTAATTGTTCATTTATTATACAAGAAGAATTAGACTGTTGTAAATTAGAATTTGAATGTTCTGAATCATGAATTAATGAAATAGTTGGAAAAGTAGATGACGATGATTTAGGTGGTGAGTCTTGAAAATCAACTGGCGGAGGAAGGGAATATCGTGAATCATTTGATGATAAATCTGAGGTTGTTGAATTGGAAGAAGAGCAAGGTGATGACGGTGAAGTATGTGATTTTGTTTGACTTTCTTCAACTTGTATCCCAATTTCTGAAACTTTATAAAGAAAATAAATCCAAATAACATTGTCTTAAGATAGAAATTCCAAAGAAATGAAACTGTTTATTTGTGGTTAAAATGTCAGGATCACTATTTTCAAAGATCTATCTTTCTTCAGTTTGGATAGTTAGGTATCATTAAAATGTGGCTTCTATTACTGTTCATCAAATACTTAAGAATTTAATTAACTTAATAAATAAATTAGCATTACTGATAGACTCGAATCATAACCTTAATTAACTGTACAGGTAATTATGCTTTATCGTTGTGTGCTAAGGAGTACAGTCAAACTATTTATCTGTGGAACGGTGTAGAGCAAAACATTGGGATACAAAAGACAGTATTCAAAAAATCGTTTAATTATTAAGCATTTTAATATATTTTACTTTGTATTTTACAGACTAATAGAGGTTTAATTCACTCGGTATTGTTCACTTGAATCTTCCCATTGATGTTTGGGACTGCAATTGATCAGTCTCTTATTGGCATGTGTGTACTGATCATTTGCAGTCCTAAATAAGAATGGGAAGATACAACTAGACAATATCAAGTTAATTTAAACTTCACCCCATCTCACAAGCAGGTGGCTATCAGGACTTATTAGGTAAGTAGATAATGTGATGGCGTTTGAAGCGAACGGTATTGGGTTCGAACCCAGGGTGAGCATCAACTCTAGGATGCAGGTACATCCAGTTGACTGTTCATAAATTGGACGAGACACGCGTCCTAGATTCCACTACTAGCCACCATCCATCTTCGCTTATAATAGCGATTATTTTAATAGAAAAATGAATCAGCTGTAAAGCGCTCAAATTTTCTGAATTCGTATTGTCTCCTTGATAATTTCATTATGAACTAACGAAAAGTGATTGATCACAGAAAACTGCAAATTCCTGGATGATTTTTTAGTCTTAATTTGTCATACTTCAGAACTGCTTGCCTATAACCTTAAATAAGTTAAATAATAACATGATGATGTTACTAGGTAACCTAGTCATCAGTTAACTTCCCTCTATTCATTTTATAACAAGATGATCATCCAATGCGACATTAGTAGGTAACTAAATGGCTTCCGACTTGGTTGGCCTCACTATAATATCGAGAAGTACTTTCTAATGTAATCATTTGTAAGAAACAGAAATAATATTTAGTGTAGACTATTTTATTTTTCTTCTATAGGAATTATTTAGTGTGTTTTTGTACGAAAACTTATTTAGGGATTTTATTCATACCAGCTATTTAGTTTCAATTTACTTGGTGTATTTTCCCATTGTCATTTAGAACTGCAATTGATCAATCTCTTGCTGAAATCATAAACTGATCTACATCAGACTACGTTTGAAAACCAAGAAGCTATTCAATGGTGGTCTAACTTAGATCGTTTCATAATATCAGTGAAAAAACTTAACTATTGGATCTAATCTTTAAACATTGTATCACAATTCTTAAATTGCTAACAGTTCAGAATAGAAATCATGTTTAAACACATGAAACACCTTCACAAAACTGCCTAACATATTTAGATAGATATATCTACATATTGTTGCGTGGCAATAATTACGCTATTTTTATATTTCAAGTGTTTATATCTATTGTGAATGATAAAAAAAATTTATTTTTACGAGTTATGTTTATGGATGTTTCTTTTTTCAAAGAAAAATTCCAGATAAATTTTATCTTATTTGAAATAAGGAAAGATTATGCAATATGAACTACTTTTCTTTCAATCTATTCAAAATCATTTCCCCTAGTGATTAAATGTATCTATATCTAACTCTCTCTCTCTCTCTGTATATATATATACCTTAATCATAAGCTTTCAATTGATTCATTAACTACTGCTATGCGACTGATTGTTTTTACAGCACCCCCTACTCACAGCTACATTGATCATGTATAATTGCTATTTTCCATTGTATGGTTTGGTGTGGCCAAGTACACGTGTATACAAACTATGTCTGCTTGAAATTTAATATAGTGAAGGTTGGTTACTAATTTATGGACTCAAGGGACAAGGAAGAGAGAGTAACTAGGGCATCATGTGCCAATAAGGTCTTAGAAGTTGACTCAAGGTTACCAGTGCTGGTTGGATATGAAATGGGTCAACACAGCGATACATGTTTATAGAAATTTGGATTCTGATTAGTAATTTCTTCCCGTGATATTAGTCAGTGGTCGTAAACCATAAGAGAAATATCTACCATGAACTGCACTAGTTGAGTGTCCGTTTTCGTATCTTGGTTTATTTATATCATTCCCAATACATAAAGTTATCAGAAATTTTTTTTGTAAAAGTCGAAGAGATATTTATGCAATGAATAATAATACTCTCTTTAATGCGACTTATCTAAAAGTATTAAGTTTCTAGTTGTTAACCGGAAATAGAATGCTCTAGATCAATTAAATCATTACATACATCAATTTTGATGGATAATAAAATGATTGTCGGGCAACCGGTGATTTTCTATAAACTTTTTTACAGTAATGCAAAGGAAGTTTTACATCTTCATATGATATCAGCTGACTAGACGTTAGAAGACACGTTGCATTGGATAGATGTGTCATCAATGTGCACCTAAGACCTTACATAGATGGTCGTTATAGTCTGATACTGATATGTACGCTTTCAATACACAAGCCTAACTAAATACTTCGGTGAGAGAACTAAGATTGAGTAGTAATCTTTTATTGGCTAGCTTGAATCGGATGCATAAATATATAACTGTTCTCGTTTAAACTTAAACCAGATTTTCAATCAATAGAAAGTTAGGCTAAGTCTTAACTAACATCGTACACGTATCAGCATCTTTCCCTTATCATTTGGTGTTAAACTGATAACTACAACTGGTTCATCAAATCAAATTGAACACTGAACCTCCAAGTCTTTTAATAAATATAATTCGATGATCCATTTTTCACCTATATAAGCTTGTAATTAAATACAAAATCCCACAAGTATGATTAATGAGTAAAAAGCGGTTTCATTTCCAACTTGTTCTACTTCATTTGGCATAATATGTGTTGGGAAATCGGACTATGTCAAATAATTTTAATATTGTTGCGTTTAGGATTGTTGTGGTACCACATATGAGCAAAACAAAAGAAAACCGCTTACTTAATTTTATTATGAATTCTTGCTAGGAAGGTCTAAAATTAACCGGTTTTTTATTTCCATTAACAAATAACATTTCTGTTGTGCAAGTAAACCGTTGGTAACTTTGTTCTAATCTAAGTAACTCCTTATTTGTATTATTATCTGATTGATCAGTTTCATTTTTAGTTCGTTATTTTTATTGTGCTTCTAGGTCATAGCGATCACTATATCAGTCAGTCAGTCAGTTACAACGTAGGACCAGGCACATACATACATCGGTCCAAGTTGCCATTCCTCATTAGAACAGCAAGACGAACACCAGATTCATAGAAGCAGTTAAGTCAACGGTGTAATATATAAAAGAAAGATTTTATGTAAGGATATAGTGCAGAAAAAAAGAATTAGTTGGTAGAAAGAAAGATATGAAGCGATTTTAATCTCATAGTTTGAAGGGAGACAGAGAGTGTATACACCTATGTCATTGTGGTCGATTCTGAGCCATGTCACTCAGAATCTCCAATCATTGATTACGATAGTCACGCGGACCCTAACCAAGTAGCCTGCATCTAGAAAAATGTCTCAGACTAGAAATTAGTGACATCAAGCATTGATGCAACGTTTTAGTTTGGCCACTTCTAGATTAATTTTATTGAAATGAAATAATAATAATAGTTTATTCATACCTTTTAAATGCTGTTGACAATATTCCTTGTTTTTTATTTCATTTGTTTTATTAACATCATTATGATTCGATTGATATTGTGGTAATTTTGTTAAATAATCATAATTTAATACTAATGATGATGATCTAGTATCATTTGGAATAAATGAAGACGTAGATGATGGTATAAAATGAATATCTTTCTGAAGTGAACAACCGATTGTGGTACCATTGATTTTGGATGATAAAATTAAACGATTTAATTTATTAATAGCAGTGAGAAGTTTCTTTTGATGACCTAAATATGAGATGAAAACGGGGGGGGGAACCAAATAATTTAAAAACAAGTTTCTATGGAGAAAACAAATAAACAACAAGACGATATTGTTGAAAAATTCATGATAAAAATGATTATTTAAAAGGATTACGCAATCTGTGTTAGTTAACTTTTGTTTTATTTCCTGATCAATTGTAGTCCTAAATAACAATGGAAAGATACAAGTGAAACAACATCAAGTGAATTTAAAATTCACCGCATTGCACAAACAGGTGGTCGACAGGATTCAGTAGCTAAGTCGATAACACGATGGCATTTGAAGCGAATGGTAATGAGTTCGAATCCCGGACGGAACATCAACTCTGCGATGCAGGTACATTCAGATGACGAGTCCCAAATAGGTAGAAATGTGTGTCTTGGATTCTACTGATAGCTAGTGTTCCTCTTTGCTTAAAAATCTTGTGACTTTAGGCTATATCAAGACAATCTGCATAGGATGTACATATGTCAACATGAGACTGATCAATTGCAGTTCTAAATAACAATGGGAAGATACAAGTAAAACAACATCAATTCAATGAAAATTTTTATTTGTTTAAGAATGTAAGAAATATTTACTGAATATATTTTCTTTCCGATCAAGTGAACAGCAACTACTTGTAGAAAGCCATGATATAGTTTCGCTTATATCAATACCAGTGAATAACCATGGATATGAGTACATTTGAAAAAGTTGAAATTTTGAACCAAAGAAACAAAAAAACTCAAAATTTTCCAAAGTCTGGCACCCCTGTCACTCATCAATTAATAGAGAAATCAAAACTAACACTAATTTGAATAGCTTAGTTCTTTTTGAAGAACATGCTGATAATAATGTTTAAAAAAATAATGAAAGCTTCATGATTGAGAACAACACAACACTTCTGAAATGTAATTTGTACAAGATATCCACTTATAACTACACTGAGATGATTAACTCATACCTCTAAGGACAACACCTTGATGAATTGCACATTTCATCTAGTAACTAGTTAGTTGATATACTTGAAATTATCAGGTTCAATCATTGGACTTATAAATTTCTAGGAAAATTCATGTGATGGTCGATAGTTGACTAATAATTAATAATAAAATCATTATGACTGTTGAGAATTAAGTAAACTTCAACCATATCAACTTTTAACAACTGATGTAGTGTATGCTATTTATGTCGACAGACATAACGGAATTAAAAAGGCATTGTAATTAAGAAGAAACATAAGTAATGTGAAGGACAAGTGATGAAAATTTGTAAATGAAGTACTCAATGAAGGGTTCTAATATCTAATGCAAGAACTTTTCAATTTTTTGTCAAAACACATTTGGTCGTCCCAACTATTGTTTTCGTTCACTACACTTATGACAGGTTTGGTGATTTTAGTCAGACAGTTCTTGAAAACTTAACAGCAGTAAAAGAGTAAGATTTAAACTACAAGAATAAAACTTGTTCAGTTGGTTATTATAAAAGAAGTTTCAGAATTCATGTGTAGATAATAGTCAGATTGTCATCTTTGAACTCAATCTCGATTTAGCATTCTAACAGAATATTTGTAACTTTAACATGATCATGAAACTATGTGAAGTTTTTGAGAGCACAACAAAACTACACTAATTAGTGCAGAAATCAATGAATTCAAACGTAATTAATATTCCACAAACTTTATTCTTTCCAATATTCTTCATATTAGATCAGGTTAGATGAAACCCTCAAATGCCCTGATACTGCGGAGAGTGGGGAGAGTTACATCTCCCTCTCCAAATGCTCTCAAGTGGCCACGTACATACAACCACTGCCAGGAAAGTCCTACTCACTGCCTTCTCGCAGCATTACTGTTGTTTACGAAATTAAGAGGACGAAAAGCGAATGTCCGGCACTTTAACTGGGTTGGTGGATATGGAGAGTCCATCCAGGGGGGTTGGAAAACCTTGATTCCAAACCAATGGTTCACATGGACTCCAGTATCCCGAAGGAACAAATGAAGTATGAACCTAATGTTGGTCACCGGCTACCATGATACTGCATCTCCTAACGTTGCTCCACTACTTTGTGGATCAGACTTTCAGGTCGAAGGCTCCAAGTGTGACCACCTAAGAAAACCATCTGCTTCGGTTTTGGCATCCGGGCAGTATCCCAGCCCTCACACAAATCGAATGGTTTATGTGGCGCATATCTAATTGCTGCCTCCTTGTACCAATGTTTATGTGTTCAAATAAATAATTAGGTTAGATGATGCTTATTAAAATATTTCCTAACTAGTCTGTAAACAATGTTCAACAAATACTTTAAATAGAAAGATAAATGGACTAAATAATTTGTAGCCCATATTCACATCATCAATGAAAATGTTATTGAATAATTAGGAATTAACAATATAACCTAGAACTGATTAATTACTTTTATCTCTTTGTTTAGTATTCAGTTAGTAAATGAAGCCAACATATGTCTACTGATAGTCAGTATGAATATAAAAGAATTTTGTTAAAACTAATTTTTTTTCAGGAAGAAAATGATTCATCGCTGACTTGAAATAATATAAAGTCTAATTTCATTGTGGTTTGAATAATTTTTTCTGGTTAGCGATTCTTTTAGCGAGTTAATTTTCTACGGGATGGGGTCGCTAACCCCATGCCCAATCCTCCTCCTTCACCCGGGCTTGGCACCGGCAGTAGCCTCATAGGGACTTCAGGCGGAGAATATAGAAATGCTGACATCTTCACGAACACATACTACATATGAACTACTATTACTCACTTAGTCAATAATAGTAGTATATCATCAAATGTAAAATAAGAATATAAACGTACCTAATTTGGAAATGCCAATCTCTTCTAAATCATCCCATGTAATACGAATAATTTGTTCAAATGTTATTAAACCTTGATCATTAAATTTAGGCCAATATTGTTGTAAATGTAACTGTATTAACCATTCATGAACACTGGCCTATAATGGTGACGATAAAAATATTCAATAATAATAATAAGCCATGTTAGTTATTGAAATGAAATAAAATAAAACTGAACAAACCCTACAAGAGATTAGAAAATAATGTCGTGAATTGATCATTCAAAATAATTCACGATAGTTTTTCATGGATTTTCTTTTTCTGAGCTGGATGGTTTGGTCGTGGAGCTTTCATCGTTCTTCTGAACGATATCTCATCAGCACAAACTTCAAGTAGATGTCGGTAGTTCTGCAAGTTATCTTATTTTCGTTACAGTGACTGGTAAGTGTGTAAAATTTTAAAGGATATTCAATTATTTCACTAAATTACTAATTACATCTAGAAATATGGACTACTGAATTCTATAACATTAGTCTAAAGGTATTAGGCTTTACATAAGACCTGAAGATATCCCAATTGACCTAACTTTGTATTCATAACGCCATACTGATGCAGAATTACAAAGTAAAACAAAATGATTGTACAATATTTTGTTGTTGTTGGTTTTTGATGGTTATTAAAGGGATATCACTTTGTAGGACAAATTATTTGGTTCCATTTTTACGGACTGTTAAGTTCAGCGGATGAGTCCTATATAGGACAAAACGCAATGTCATTGAATCTAACCGTTAACCGAATATCAAATTTACCAATTACCAAATAATAGTTTAAGTAATTTATTAATATATAGTTTGAGACTTCAATCATGTGTCTCAAACTGTGTCATAATGACAGTAACGAAGTATGTATTTTACTTTTCTCGAAATATTGAATATCACATCGTCATCAAAATTTCATTCCCTAATTTTGCAGACTCTATTTGACAAGTTTTATATAATAACAATACTACATTTACTAACTTGATTTTCTTCACATTGGTATTTTATTAGTAGTAAGTTTATATGAGTGTGACAGCTTTTTATACGTATATAAGGTCATATATTGTTTTCGACAGTCGATCTGCCGATCACCTGAATACATATACATTCTTACGGTTGAATTTACGAGTCTATCTAAGCTAGACCATCATTGGTAACCTGGAAGCACTGGAAAACCGTTTTGCTCTAGTATGGAACTCCTGACCAGTGCGCACCCACAACTCCTCATGCAGGACTCGAACCCGGGACCTTCGGTCTTGTGCTTGGGATCGTGGACACATATTGCTGAGATGTCTTATACTAGGACGAAACGGCCATCCAGTGCTACTAGGTTACCAATGTTGGTCTAGCTTAGATCGACTCGCGAATTCAGCTGTAAAAAATACTACACTCTCCATAAATTCCCACATACATTCTGTTTACGAATTGAATGCAAATCTATTAGAATTCATAGTAAACACAGTTAAACTTGCAGATTAGAGGGAACATAAAAGGCCAATAATCTCAATTTTGATTATCACAATTAGCGTATTTAGATGAAGAGGGAAACTATTTCTGGGGTGTTATGATATATAAATAAATGCTAGTTTAACATAACTATTTTTTATTCATCGATGTCAAGTTACCAGCTTATTACTTCTTTGATTTTCCCAAAAAAATTTCAATGTTACTATGTAATTCTTTGTATGAAAGCTAACAGGATAGGCTAACAAAATGGATATTTCAAGATAGCACTACTTATTAGATGATGAATATTATTATGTCATGACTGAATATGAGCAATCTCTCACTGAAATAACGATGATTGAATGTGGGGAGAATCTTTAAAAATCTTTAGATCAAGTTTTCTTATACTGAGTTCAGTACTAATAATTAGTTATTATCAACCTTAATGTATGGATGCTACCATATATCTACACATGTTGTATTTTGAAAAAAACATCGTAGATATATCTATGAAATTACAAATAGAAACATTATTATTCACTTGGTGTTGTTTTACTTGTATCTTCCCATTGTTATTTAGAACTACAATTGGTCAGTCTCATGTTGGCATATGTACATCCTATGCAGATTGCCTCGATATAGCCTTAAGTCACAAGCTTTTTAAGCAAAGATGGGTAGTGGCTAGCAGTGGAATCCAGGACTCAGTAGCTAAGTGGATAACGCGATGGCGTTTGAAGCAAACGGTACTAGGTTCGAGTCCAAGAGTGAACATCAACTCTGCGATGCAGGTACATCCAGTTGACCAGTCCCAAATAGAACGAAACACGCATCCTGAATTCCACTACTAGTCACTATCCATCCTTGCTTAGAAATATTATTCGTTCAACAAAAAAAATTAGACAGGAAATGATTATCTGTTAATGATTTCCAATTATATAACAGATTATCACAGCAGGTAATGCAATGAGCATGAAACTGAATGAATGGATAGTCTACATAAATCTCTTTATATAAACTAATTGCTTAGTTAAGTCAAATTAATCATTATTAACAAATGAATAGATACTTGGTTTAAAAGAGATTCCTCATTACATGGTACTACTATTCTGTTACTATGATCATCATCATCATCATCCACAAATAAATTACATACATCTATCATCATTATCATCAGTTAAGAACAATTATAATAAAAATTATCATATTCATACATGGAAAAGAAAATCACATTTACACACACACACACACAAACATGCACATTTCATTCACTCTTCATTTCCTTTCTATTCTCCTTGTTGGAAAAAAATAAAAATAAATTATGTAATATAGACTAGTTAGTGTCTAGACTGAACCCAGCAGAAGCCAATCATTTTTTTTATAATATTTAATCAAGATTAAACTTTATTCAATAAAAATAAATAAATCAGCATGTGAACTAAAGTAATTAACTCCAGTTTATTGATAATGAGAAAGTACAATATGTGGAAATTATAAAGATTATTCATTGTTTTAACGATTCATGTTTTATAACATTTCAATGTTTATTACATCAATATGAATAGTTCATTATTTGTAAGCATTTGCATTTTGATAATGTTATGATTGAGAACTGATTTATGATTGATTTATGCTTAAATGTATGTATCATGAGTAGATAATTGACTACTACAGGTAACCACTTAGTGAGTAAACTTGATGGCTCTTTATAATCATAAGTTTGATAGGTGAAATGTTGGCATTTGAAATGATAAGTACAAGGTTCAAGTCTCAGTATAAATATCAACACTGGGATACCGGTACACATATAAGATGAGTTTTTTTTTTCGATTTTTATTGAAGAAAAGTGTAAATCAGTTTACAACTATTATTATATGAAAATATACTCAGTTTTAATATCGAATGAGATCATGGATCGATTGATGTCAGACCACCTTTGGAAACCTGGAAGCACTGGACGACCGTTTCGTTCTATTGTGGAACTCCTCAGCAGTGCGCATCTACAATAGGATGAAACGGCCGTTTAGTGCTTTCAGGTTTCCAAAGGTGGTCTGACATCAGTCGGTTCATGATCTCAATCAAAAGAACTTAATAATCTCCACAACCCCTATAATATTAATATGAAATGGATTCTCAACCCACCAATCAATCTCATACTGAATAAAATTGGGTAAATGTTTTTCTTAAAAATTATAAAAAGTCTATTAGTCACACCTTTGTACTGTTAATGAAATCTAACTCAGAGTTGTAGATTTCATAACTGTGAAGATTAGCTGAAATACAATTGCATGAAAATATACAACTTTCCATCACATTGAATATTTCTTCTATAATTCAATCTCCAAGTCATTTACCAAAGTGTACCGTAATTTTGTGAGTCATTTCGACTAGTTACCTGTTTTTAACCTTATAAATAGTATGAGACAAATAATGACAACCAAATAATCACTTAATATCCAGATAATACAATCCTATAAAATATTAGTTGTCTCAGCCGAAACGGTTAGCTTCATGACAAGGGTTCGAATCCGTTACCAGTATACTATAGCAATTGAAATCTCTCACAGCAATTCCTGTTTCATATTTCCCCTCTTTATACTTTTCTGCATACACCATTTTCTGTGTTTATACAACTTATGAAATTCATGTGAATTCAAACTTATTAGGCAGCAAGTCAAAATATTCCTCGACTACTTTCAATGAAATGACTAATCTATTTTCAAAGTATGGGACCCTACAACAGTACGTGCTACCAAGGAGTTTCAAACAGGCAGGAAATAGCTGTCCAGTACTTCCTGGTCTTTAATAAGTGTCTAAGATAAGATCATTATGCAAAGCGTGAAATGTAACAATCTCCCTGACAGTAATAACACTTTATTACTTACAATTAAACAAAATAATATGTGAATCCTATGGAACTATTCTAAGTATCTTTGTCTGTACAAAAGTATGAATCATCTGTGTAAAATCTTATCATATTTATATTAACTGAAATATGATAAGATATCTCTTGGGGGAAGAATGGTAATATTATCCTAACCATTACTATTATCATTAGTATCATGATTATTATTATTATTACGACTATTAATAAAAGTATTAATATAAAGCGATAAATTTCCGATATATTGAAAGTGTCTCTGTTTGTCCTTCCATCTCTCTCTCTCTACTGATTAATAAGATGATCTGCTTCAGCTATTCACTTTCTTATCATTACCCACATTGATGTTATTTATTTCAGGTATATGGTGCTTTCTGACACAAGACAGTTTACATTGCATTTTCTCACCAATCAGTTTATTTTATTCATAAACTTTAGCAGATATTAGGAATACGGTTTTTATTATCAATATCGATAATACAAATTTTTTGTATAGTTAGATTGTGGCTAAAAGTAGAATTCAGTTTACATGTTTTGTCCTATTCTGGATTCGTCCGCTAAATATACTTATATTTAAGTGTCGATTTCGTACACTGAAACACAAACTTACCAATCTTTAAATAGCACTGTGTTGTTCAACAACTTACTGATTTCAATTAGCTACTAACTTGTGTCAACGAGTGTGAATTCTATCAGTAAAGATTTGATAATATTGCATGGTTAATCTTTGAGACTGTTGGACGTTCAGTAAAAATAGGACATAGAAATTGACTTCGATGAAAGCAAAATATTTTAAACAACTGTTCGGTCTTGCAAACAAGAATTGACATTTGAAATCGTACACATACAGACAGACATGAATCATCTAAACAGATGAGACGAAGGATAATAAACTGTATCACGGTAACTTATTTATTGGTGCCTTCAATAGTAACGACATCATAGATCCAATTGTTTGATTAATTATTATGTCCGTGTATTTTTTGAAAACCAGTCTGATTAATTTACGACCACGCATAAATCTTTCATTTTTCTTAATCTCATACATGTTCTGATAAGTTCAGTTCTTGTTCTATCAACCACAATTACTAAATTGATCCGAACTTTATTTGAATATATACGTTATTTTGTCAATTTCTGGATAAGTCAGTCGAATGTATTCAATGAACTTTCATTAGATCGATGATTCACAGAATAAATATAATTACAGTACATATAGGTTGTAGAATATATAAATAAACAAGTAGACATTGGATGGGAAAAAAGGTAAAAAAAAAGCCGAACGCTTTCAACAGTTGATATCAGGATCGAATTCACTTTAACTAGACAAATTAACATTGACTGATGACCGATGTTATGTCTAATTAGTCCTTAGTGCTTATCGTATTCCATCGATCAAATTACATCGTAGACACCAAATTAAGCGACTGAAAATTGTGTTTCGACGTTAGATGATTGCAGGTAGCCGATAGAGAACCCTGGACTTTGGTTTTGTACTAATTGGCACTCTTCAAAAAGACCTATCTGAAGTCTTGGAGGAACTGACGTCCCCTTACGAGATCAAACTCGCATCATATGACATCACATTCTGAGATATTAATACTACGTAATTCGGGCTGCAACTAACTTTCTGTAGCTTTGAGATATTTACATTAGTAGATCGCCGGGTGGTGTCTCAACCAATGTCATGTTTGCTTGATCCTTAGACCCCAATGATCCAGCCATAATGTCTCAGATTATGAAGCCCGGTAACGCGGAAGGCAACAGTTACCTGAAAAAAGCAGGTACTCCTCATTGACAAGTGCTAATTGGTACAATACTAAGGTCCAGGTACACTTACCGAATAAGTTCAATGACCTAACATAAAAAACAACGATAGCACTGTTCAATTTATAAAACAGAATTCATAAATATTTTTACCGGTAGTTTTTTTTCTGTAAATGGATCAGATAATTGAAGAGTAGCGAGTTGGTTTCTCAAAATTTGTCGATCATATGGATTAGTAATTCCGCAAGCATTCAATTCTTCCGGTGTTGTATGACACAATGTCCATAGATCAAACCCGGATTTAGATAAACATCCACTTAATCTATACCAAAAATGCATTTTCAAAAGAAAAATTAGAAAATAAATTCATAAACAATGAATTAAATTTTGAGAATTTAATTGATAAAGAACAAGGTATCATTACCAAGGTTTGATTTGGTAATTTTGAATAAATTAAGCATTGGGTAGATTGTTATATTCTCTGAAGAAGTGGCATACACTAAGTCACGAAACACCAGAAAATCTCATTTTTATACTCATTGGCATATCACAGTTGTTTTAAATGATGATTTATCAGTTCGGCCAATCAATTGTCAGTGAAATTATGTGCTTAGTTTCAGTAATTAGTTACATTGTTCTGTGATGATTTTATGTAATTCCACAATTTATGACTTTTCAAATGAATTCTGAATAAGATAATAACTTACTAATGTCATACGATATGAATTATGTTATATGGAAAAATAATTATGGTTAAGAGTCCAAACCACTGAACTAAGCGTCTTGAAGATATTTAACTTATTATAAGAACCGAAAATCAGCTTTTTGATTTTGTTCCAAGAGTTGCAAACTAGAATGAATTTATTGTCTATCCTCGATAGTTTTAGTAGGCTTTAAAACTGTCATAATTTTGTAACCATATTCAACCTTCCAAGAACATTTGTCCAGTTACATTCAGAGCTCATCAACTGAATGTGTTAATACTAGAAGAAATGATAACGTCACAGAAACTCAAATCCATAATTAAAATTCATTCAATATTACATGATTACTAAATTACCAGGAAAATAAGTTGACAATTTTTGAGTAGAAGAAATCGATAGACAAATAGAAAATGAACTCCTAATCAAAAATAAAGAGGTTTCACTTAACCCAGCAAAATTAATCACTTTCGTTCAAGCCAAAAAAAATACACATGGTAACAAACATAAAACATTAGTTTAAGAGTCTGGTTAATTACTGTCAGATCAGAGCGGATATTTAGAAGAAGTGATAATTGTAGAACGAGAATTTTCAAATTAGGGGGATAAGCTACCCTGATGAAATGACTTAAATTTGTACTGATAATAGAAAGCTTACAAATAATTGTTCACACTAACATAGCTCCTTATCATGACCTTTTAAATATTTTTTAGGACCCAAGTTTATGGTTTTGAAAGTCAGAAGAAACAGAATTTTCTCGGAAGTAAAAAACATGACATCGGTCACTACTCAATGATTAATCAATTATAAATATCCCATCAGAGAGGAAGTCAGTCGTACCCCGAACAGCTCAGAGGTAACATCTCATACTGTGAGATATGATGAAATGAGGTTCTTTCCAACAAGAAACATCAACTTCTACAAGATTACAGGTACATTTTACTTAACAGTGGCAACCAACACGAAGCTTGTATCTAGAGTTTCCTCTCGGTTATCTCCAACCACCTAAGTAGGAAAATGTTTCCACCTAAGAATTAAAAGGCTTGTTTTCTAATGGTGCTTTTAGCTGTCTTAAGTTATTCATTCTCAAATACAGTGCAACAACGCCTAAATACCACCTAGTAAAATAACTGTTTATCACCGTTAAGATGCGAATATTTGTGTAGATTACTCAAGTGAAAGATCACCAACTAACATCGTGAACGGATTGTAGCTGACTTGGACATCAAAAACCAGAGAGTAATGGTCAGTAGTCTTAATGCAGTACTTCCCAGACAGTGCTCCATAGTCTCCAGTGTTTATTTAGTTGTCGAAGATAGTCCGAGAAGTAAACTACTAACTGGTAAAATAATTTTTTACATGTCATATTTAAGAGTCTATAATCTCAACAAGTGATGAACATTTATAATGATATCATCAAATTCTTCATTTCTCTCAAACATTTCAGTCAACCAGTTAATTATCCATGTAATTAAATGATTACAAATACACCAATGAATTATAGATTATCAGTTGGTCAGCCAATCACAAAGAGCACGAATGTTAGTTAACCTAATTCTAGTCACCCCTAGCTTTCAAACCGGCCAAAATCGTAGATCGAGGTAGTCGGTGACTAGGGATACGTAACACAATAGTTTGTATCAACTCGATACAGCGTATTAAAGTTTCATTTCTAAGAACTAATTTATTCTTCACTTACCGACTAAGACCAACTGATCTTAACCATGCAAATAATGCTTCATCATCGGGATTGATTAAAACAGAATGAACTGATTGTTGTTGGCATTGATTACTATGTATTGATTGCGTAGGCATATTCGAAAGAATATGTGATCGATGATATATATTTGCTGGTACTTTTGGTCTTGAAACATCAAAATCAGTAAAATGTCTTTCTTGGCAAGATGAATAGGACGGCAAAAATGATTGTTGCTGTTGTGTTGGCGATGACGGTGATGTTAATGGTTTGATAAGATTAGTAGTTGAACAACAATTCCTGGTAGATTGATATGATGGAATATGATAATATTCGCAAGGCTCTGTACATTGTAGCATAGAATTGACAATTTTATTATCTATACTACTATAATTGTTATATTTGTGTGTTGGTGATGTCAAGGTATCATCTTTATTGAACTGTTGTTGGTGGTATTGTTTTAATTGATGACATGAAGAATTTCTACTATGACTACTACTAGCATTACTACTATTATTCACACAACAATTACTAACGTTATAAATAGTCGAATTATTATGATTACAAAATGGTAATATCGTTGCTACTGGTAATGAGGAGGTATTATCAAATGATGTACAACTGCTGGAATTATGATTATTTTTACGAGTTGAGATAATGTTATTCCTTGATATTTGACTATTATAACAGTATGGTAAAGTTGGTGATAGAATATACCCATCATCTGAAGAATATTGCTGAGGATATTGAACCTGTGAATAGAAAAATTTTGGGATATTTTTGTAGAAAGGGTTTTGAAAAAAAGCAACATTTTGTCAATATATTCAATGTAATCTTCATTATGAACTGAGACTAACTGATGAACTTCCGAATGAAATGAACAGTTATTTTGTCTTAGTATATTTGGCACGTAGCTGCAAATGTAATGCAGAATACGCGTTCTGCCCTTTTTGGGACTTTTTGGTTGGATGTATATGTATCACAGTGCTAACGTTTACATTGAGACTCGAGCCCCAGTACCTTTTACAACAAATTTCCAACACATCTACTGGGCTTTTTCTAACGATCACTTAAATTTACAACGTTACAAGAATATAAGTCAAAACTATCATTTCCTGATGTCCTACTTACTAAAAGAAATGATAAATGAATACGAATCTCAGTCTACAGAAAACCTATATAGAAACGAGAACTGACGAATCTTCACAGTCAGTTTCCAAAAACTGGGAAAGAAAATATTACGAAATAATAATGCTTTATGCTCACAATATCGTAAAATTTATTCAATAGACTACCAAGGGGATGAATAGCAAATTTTGTGATCTACCTGTTTCAAACATGTATACCATTCAGAAGAACGATTAAATAAACTCATGACTGGAAACAGCCTTAAGAAATCATAGGCTAGTTTTAATGTTAGTCTGAAAAGAAAGGACAAATAATGATATGTTCTGTCAGATGGTTGGAGGCAATCAACAGAAAACCCTAGATATAGGTTCCGCGCAAGTTGTAACTCTCAAGCAATGTGTACCTGTAATCTTGAAGGGATCAGTGCTCTATATTGGATTCGATCCCATGTCGTTATGGTTCACAGTCTAAGACGTTAACACTGAGCTATATGATATGCGACTAACCTTCTGTACATATATATTCTCAGCTTCTTTCTTAATCTACCGTTTTACATTGTTTATCTATACTTTTCAAACAATAAATCAAGATGTAGATATCCTATGCATAATTATTAGTCTCATATTCAAGTGGATTTTTTCTTTAAATTTCCAAAAGACAAACGTATGACTGATTCGTTGCATTTTTGTGTGGGTGGTAATAAAAACCGCGAGTTCAGTATTGTTTTTTAGATAAATCAACTGAATAGGTTGTAAGTAAATTCAAGACGGACAGGAAAGCACACATAAATAAATAAGAAATATTCATTCTTTGAGAAAGAAACAATATTTTAATGTTTGTTCATTTCCATTAATTGGGATCATTTCAGGTTTGATATGATGATGTTTGTTTGTATGTATAGGTCTGTGTATTAACCTCTCCAGTTATTCTGTAAATTTCATGATAATGGTGATAAAAAAACAGCTCATTCATATACTCAACTGATTCAAATGTAGTCTACGCAGTAAAACAACACTACACATACACTTCATAAATTAGGATTTGAGTATTTCCTATAGAGATGTAACGACAGATAATAAGAAACGATGTTAAGATGCAAAAACAGACAGACCTAGATAGTTATCAGAATGGGGGTTTGTGGAGTTTGTAGTAATTTTAATAGTTGAATTCATGGGTTGATTTAAGCTAGACCAACACCGATAACCTGGAAGCACTGGATGGCTGTTTCGTCCTAGTATGGGACCCCTAGATTGTCATTCATTCTCTAACAGAAGATAAGAAAACAAGCGTGTAACTCAGTCACTACCAGATTAGTCTATGACTCATAGTTTGAAGTATTAGTATATCAACACTTAATCATTAAACATAAGTTAACCGTATAACTGTCTCTTCTAACTAGTCACAATGAACTCAAACGATGATCAACGTGATAGCTATTCAGAGTGTTAGTACGACGTGTTTAATTAATCGAATCTTTTATTATAGAATACTTTCACCGAACAAGTAATGAGCTATGATATATCTTCAAAACACTTACGATACCGAAACGACTTATCTGTAATTAATAACGAATTTGAGTAATACTATAGAGACATTGCAGGTCAAACATGAAAACTCACTGAACATTCTCAGTCAGTATACTATACTAATATTCATCATACAGGTAAAAATCTCTTCCCCTTATATCTTATTTGCACTTCAACAGCTACTCAAGTATACGAAATTTTCACGGATACCCTAACTTTTATCATTCGGATAATCAGTATACACAAATAACCCTTCTGATAGTAATCAACATATGCTCACTAGTAACTGGCTTCAAGAGGTATATCCTGGAGTTCTAGTGGAGCTCAACCGGGTTTGTTGTGAGATAGTAACTCACTGATGACAATGGTGGGTGCGTCGCTCAATTTCGTGGATTAGTTGAAATCAAACATTAACACCATTGGATGTCGGTCAGCTCAGTGGTCTAGAGGTTAAGAATTCGCACGCATGACTGAAAGGTCCTGGTTTTGAATCTCACCAGGCGGGATCGTGTATGCACACTAGTGAGGAGTCCCACAATAGGATGAAACGGCCGTCCAGTGCTTCCAGGTTTTCCATGGTGGTCTAGCTTTAACTGACTTATGATCTTAACCATTGAAATTACTATAATATCCACAAAAACCCCTTCTGATGTTAATCAGTAACTATCAAATGAGTTATTTAAAAAGAAATGTGAAATTTTCTTTTTTCGAATAATAAGGAAGAATATTTCGCTTAGGAATAATACTATATGAACGTAACGATATTCAAGATTATAAATTGTTCCGAAGGACTTTGTCATTAGTAGTATATTTCAACAAGGATGGATTTCTCTTTTGATCCGACTAAAAAGAACTTCTTGTCATGGATGTACTGGATAATAGTTACTCTTACAGTGTACATATAAAAAGATACCACCGTGTGTATTCCACAAATCGTTATTAAATAAAGCCACATTGTTTACCTATTATTCAATACAAACTCTGACAACTTTGATGGAATGTATAGTGGTTTAAATAATTACTTACAATTTTAAAATATACTTAGTTCCAGATGAAACTCTAGTCATATACATGTATCATGAATATTTTGATGAGAAAATTGTAAATCCATGTATGAATCATAAGAAACTTATAAACGATGTGTAAACTATATGTGGATAGTTGAACATCGGTAGCTTCTAACAAGACTTCTTAAATTAAGATGTCTTTGTGTTCATTGATTGGCATGGATCATTCTAGGTCATTTTAGGTTATGTTTGATTTTAGCAGTAAGTCATTATTATTATTATTATTATTATTACTATTTTGATTATCATTATGAGTACATTCCACTTTACAAAGGTTGAAGGGTATATTTTTAATACAAACCATAAAAGATTGCACAGATTTTGAATTACTTGTCTATTCATATAAAAATGAGGTAAACAACCAATAAATTCTTTTATCCTAACACTTGTCTTCTACTTTGAATACTCATTTTGGAATGTAATTACTGAATGTTGTTGAATGTTAAGCGACAAAACTACTACTCCAAATTATTTGTAATTAGATTTGAAACGATATCGATTTATATACATGTTGAGTGATCGATAAGTGAAGGGATATGTAGGTTTATTAGCAGAGAAAATAACATTCTACAAAATAGTATCGCAAACTTTTGACCATAATGAAAGCATTTAACAAAATAAGATTTATATCAAATGGGTTTTGTGAATATTATAGTAATTCCAATGGTTAAGATCATGATTCAGTTGAAGCTAGACCACCATAAAAAACCTGGAAGCACTGGATGGTCGTTTCGTCTCATTGTGGGACTTCTCACTAGTGCGCATCCATGACCTCGCCACCAGCGAGATTCGAACCCAGGATCTATCAGTGTCGCGCGCGAGCACTTAACCATTAGAGGAGTCCCACAATAGGATGAAACGGTCGTCCAGTGCTTCCAGGTTTTCCATGGTGGTTTAGCTTCAACTGACTCATGATCTTAACCATTGAAATATAAGATTTGTTATGATCGTTATATTAGCTGAAATGTCTAATTCTCATGTTCTCTATCTTATACACTCATTTTTCATATATGGAAACTAGAATATTTGATTGCTAGTCGTTATTCATGTATGATTATTTCGAGTATGATTTGAAATCGGTACTTAATATTGAAAGACATAATACTAAGTAATGAATCAAATCATAGAAATCGAATTCGATAAACCAAATGTTAAATTGATTGGCAGTAAGACTTTCATTTGTGATCTGAAAATAATAGGAAATACTGATTCTGCATACCCTAGTTTGGATATAAAATTTAAGTGAGGTCGACTTCTAATAAGAATCAACTTCAATAATTTCAAACGGGCGTTAGTTGATTGGATTTAACTGACAGGAGACACTGAACTTAGGTTACATGACAAGAGTAGTATAACTTGTATCAGGGTAGTGTCACAACCATCAGCACTATCACTGCTCTATTTAAACTGTGCACGGCCTCCTAAAGGACTAATGTATTTACACTGATTAATCACGGAATGGTATTTAAACTCATATGTTACTTTGCTGATAAATCCCAACTAACATAAAGCTAGGTTCATTGTTTCTAACCGATTACTTTCATCAAATTAATATCGAATCATATTATAAGAGTTCTCGAGTCATTTGGACTAGTGGCTGAACTGTAACCTGATTGATAGAATTTCATTAACCATGAGAACTAGACAAACATGATGTTAATTGCAACCCAATAATTAAACAATGCACAGAAATGAGTCACAGTTAGCTACCGTCCATTCTCAATACAGGTAATCATATTTCTAAATAAAAAAGGTTTTATGTTTACGACTTTTTAAAAAGATTTACGATGTTACTATATGAACTTGTGGTTATTGTCGGCATTAAAGAAATTCAATCTAATGTAACGAATTCCGTCAAATCCCTATCATCTAAAGGTTAGATAATAATACAACTATGAAATGTGGCAAAAGTAACTAACCATTGTTTAGATATTGTAAAGGCAAAATATTCTTAAATTAACAGTTAGAACTTGAAAAGACATGATCTACTCTATTTGTGATCTTCCTATTATTGATCAGAATGTACCACATGTTCATGGTGCCACTTTCCTGCCAACTATACCTACTCTTTATGCGGTCTATTTTCTCTAATTTTAACAATTTACGTATGGAAATTAAATGATTTTTGAGGATCGTTGATATTGTAAAACCTAATTTCATTATTTATTTTAACTGAATGGTTTGTCTGCAGTTTATCTTCTTTTTCAGTTTACTAGATGATCACACTTATAATTTAGACTCCTTCCCCCAAAACGACACAATACCTTCAGGATAGACATAAATCTACCAATAATCAAACAGTATACAATTAAGCATCAATTTTGCCAATGTTAAATGACCCCTTACTCTTACTAGTTTGTTAAGGTGTTGTATGACAGTTGTATTTCCCCCCTATTCGCGACTATTTCATTTGTCATTTTTCTTCAGTGAAATAAATTAATCTATCTATCAATCATCAAGATTCGACCTTTATAGATTATCTTCAACTGATATCAGTCTATTTCATGGAAAGTTTATTCAAATTGAATTAATCTTCATGAACTATCTGGAAAAATAGCGTATAAGTACAAGCATTCAGAAATGTATATTGTTAGAAGTGACTTTTTCAAGGGTCATGACTTATTTTATGTTCATCAAAATAGAATAAATGAATGAATTAATTAATTTTCATTAATTGAATTATACTTAGAAGGACATCTTAATTACCTCACTTTGAAAAAACTGGACACATGCCTATTTTGGAAACAATTTTTTTAAAAACTAGAAACTAAAACGTTGAATTCAATTTCAAACAATGTCTTATTGATTAAATGTATACCTTGTGTAATTTGTTCTAGTCTGAGCCATGTTAGTAGATGCAGGTCCGCATGACAATTGTAATCAATGGTTAAAGATTCCGAGTGACATGGCTCAGAATCGATCACAATGGTGTAGATGTATACACTTTCTGTCTTCCTTTAAACTATGAGATTAAAATCGCTTCATATCTTTCTTTCTACCAACTAATTCGTTCTTCCTGTACTATGTCATTATATGCAATCTTTCCTTTATATATTACCATCATTGAATTAACCACTTCTATGAGTCCGGTGTTCATCTTGTTGTGCTAATACGGTATGGCAACTTGGACTGATGTACATATGTGCCTGGTCTTACGTTGCAGCTGACTGACTGACTGTGTAATTTGTACGAAAAATACGGGAAATCTATTTCAATATTATAAATTTAACTTCTGTAATATTAATAGTATGGGGATTTGTAGAAATTATAGTAATTTTAATAGTTGAATTCACTAGTCAATTTGTGATAGACCATCAATAAAAATCTGGTAGCATTGGGTGGCTGTTCCGTTACAGTATGAGACGTCTGATCAGTTCGCATCCACGATTCCGTACGCGGGTATCAAACTCAGCACTTTTGGTCTGGCGTGAGAACGCTTAACCTCTAGACCACGCGAATTCTATGATTATCAGGCCTTAGATGTATTAATTATGAAATTTAATATGTATTTGTTACTGTCAAATAGTTACACGAATGAAAAAGACGCCAGGAAAAATTAATTTGAATGGCTTTAACGTAAATAAACTTTATCTTATTGTATTGAATATTTAAGTAATTCGTTGGCTAGATCAACGGTTTAGTGGTAAAGACAATAGACTTCAAATTATCAGATGACGGGTTTGTAGCCTATTTTAATTGTTTCAGTTTTTGTAGTTGGATAGCACTCATGTACAAAAACGTGTGCCTCAAATTTAAATGAATAAGTTTTATTTATCTAAGTGTCAATCTTTGACCAGACAAGTGACTGAATCAGCCTGTAACCCACTTTATTAATTTAGTAAATCTTGCTATGATAATTATTATTATCATCATTTTTACAAGACAGATTTTGAAAATTATAAGCAGAGTTGAATGGTAGCTAGCAGTTGAATCAATGATGTACATTTCGTCCTATTTTAAAATCGTCAGCTGGATGTACCTGGTAGCTACTGTCCAACTCTACATATAATGCTTGTGACTTAATGGTAATATCAAAGCAGTTTACACAAGATGTACATATGCCAGAAAGGTTGATCAGTTGCAGTTTCAAACACCAATGGAAAAAGTTCATTAGCACTTCAAATACATGTAATCAACAAAACAACAAACAATTTTCTGACATCTTTCTCAATGCTTGAACATCAGACATGTGGGTCTAATCAAGTCAGCCTTAAGTCAGTTACCGACCAAGCTTATTGAATGAGAACAACAACGTATCTATCATCGACACTTAGATTGAGACTTCATGGTAGAATGATTTTATGATCATGGTGGAATCTGTAGAACTACGAATTCGGCCTCCTCAAGTTTATAAGTGTCAACAATGTTAAGAAGTTGCGAATTAAACTGAAATAATTGTTCACTACTGCTTAATCTTTACTGATCCTTCAACAGATGTTAACTCGTAACAAAAAAACTATAATTTTACCGATTGAAGAAGATTGAATTTATATTAATGGGAAAACAAAATGAATGCCAATAAAAAGAAGTACTCAAAACAATTTCAATACTTACCCCACTACTGCCTTCACTCCCCGTAGCGTATGTAGAATCACGTCCACTGTCAAGACTAGCTGAACTATTACGCTTATCACAATCTGATAAGTTACTGTGGTTGATGGTGCTACTATTGTTGTTATTATTATTAATACTATTGTGAGTATCGACTGATGAGTTGAAGTATACATGTTGAGAATCAGATTTTACAATTATATCCGACTTTTGTACCTGTGAGTTTTGCATTAATTGTCCAGATGTATCCGATGGAAATGATGTAGCATTAATATCACAGCCAGGTAGATTATGTGATGAAGCATTGACCTTATTATTGTTACTATTTACATCAGTTAATTCGATTATGGTAGATTGTATAGCTTGAGAAGAAGAATTTGTTGATAATTTAGAAGATGATATTAAATTTGAATCACAACCTGAATAATTATTTATCTCTGACTCGTCAGAACCATCTGTTTCACTAGAATATTCTGATGCTGAATCTGTTTGTATCTGGATGTATTTTGGTGCGCGGAGGGGGGTTGACACGAGAGGGATATGAAGAAAAATAGTTAGTAAATATTTGAATGAATGTTTTAAGAAATATCAGACTGTTTCTATTTTTGATAAAACAAAATATGTATGAAACAGTTGTTGTTTAGGGGTTTGTAAAAATTGTTGGCAATCAATGATGATTATGCAATATCTAAACTAATTCAAACAAATAAACTAGTATTTCACAGTAATTGTCATAAAATGCCTGAACTGCATTTAAGTGAACAAGAAACCTTGACTGTACTTGTTTTTATCAATAATGTTTTTCATTTATCCTAATAGTTAAATATATTAAGTTAATTTTGTGCGATAACTATTATTCCGTATTGTTATGGCTAATAATGTTGTAGAATTATCATCCACTATGATAATATGAATAAGTATTTGAACTGGTAAATCTAATGTCGAATCATTTCAAATCCCAGTTGGATATTCCTTAGAATAGCCAATTCATGATCTTATTATAAATGTACTTAATTATTTTGGAACCATGTGACGAATATAGTTCCTCTGTAGACAACTATCAAAGTGTTCCCGTTCATTTACTTTCATTTTAGATTGTATAAATCCAGTAAATAGATAGACAATTATATTGAAGTAGACTAGCGGCTGTGGTGGATGCTTCGGGTATTAATATCAGTGATAACATATTACAGTTAATTTGTATTCATATATGCGTTGTTGAAGAGAGCAACCACAGTTTCCAGTGTAACATTCTTCGTAGATAGCATAATTTATTTTGTAGCTTATATGGAATTTGACTTACGTTTTTTATTGTCTTTCGGTTTAAATAAAATAGAATGTAATAAAATTTACATGAACAATCATAAAAATAAACTTTTGATTGAAATCATGAATGCATTGATGTTAGACCACCTTTGAAAACCTGGAAGCGCCGGACGGCCGTTTCCTCCTATTGTGGGACTCCTCAGCAATGCGCATCCATGATCCTGCTCGCAGGATTCGAACCCAGGGCCCTCAGTCTCGCTCGAGAACGCTCAGCCTACTTGACTGCTGAGACAGCACCCAACGGTGTTAATGTCTATCCTCAACCAATCCACCAAGATGCGCAACCATCTTCCATTGTACTGAGGTAGACACCTGTTTCTACCCGATACGGATTAGCTCCACTGGTCACGGCTTCTCAACAGAACTCCGAGAATTTTCTCACGAAGCTAGTCACTAGTGAGCACATGGATGCGCACTGCCGAGGAGTCCCACAACAGGACGAAACGGCCTTCCAGTGCTTTCAGGTTCTCAATGGTGGTCTAACATCAATCGGTCCACGGTTTCAATCAAAAGCCTAACAATCTTCACAACCCCTAAACTCATAAAAATAAAACTGAACTGTTTTTGATGTCGAATAAAAACTCATAAAATTCCAAGGGGGGTTTTTGGAGTATAACAATTCGATCAGTTAATAATCAACAAATATAGAAGCATAAATCTAATCTATCAACCAATACATGATACTTAAACCAACCATAGTCAAAAGACACAATCGAAAAAGACAATCAATCTTAATCCTAGAATATATATATCAACACAGACAGCTAATCATAAACATAGTTATCAAAATGAACTGAGATATAAAATTTGTAGAATAACTGAAAAGCTTACTACTACTCTGTATGAACCAAGAGATGATATTGCTGTCGTTAAAAACAATAATGAATGTTCAACAAATAAATCAGTGAACTTAAAGAACACAAATATTAACACAACAGATAGTTATCATTATCATTAATCCATTATCCGTTGGTTTACATCAGTTTTTCTCTAGTTCATTTATTAGTTCATAATGGAAACTAACATGTTAACTATAAATTATGTAAATGTTCATAAATAGTAACTAATCTACTTATAAGTAGTTAATCTACTTTTGTTTTAGTTATGTTCATTAACATTTGAGTTTAACTATTTCTTGAATGTATAAGATGTCTAATAGATAGAAATGTACGTACATCTATTATATATATATGTAAGCATACATAGTTCATATACAGGAGAGTATTCAGTCATTGATAAACATAACTATATTTGAACAACTTTCCTCTCATACATTTCTATTCAAATCTATTTTATTAGACAGTTACTAGTTCATTATAATTTTTTAAATATTAGAAATATCTCTTTTTACATATCACTAGAATAATTACAGTTTTAAACCAGATCTACATACTTTCATCTTATACAACTATACATACATACAGACATAGATACATCAGTACCAGTTAAAAGAAAAGGTGCAAAACAGTAATGTTAACTGTGTTAAGAATTAGGAGATAAAAAACCCGCTATAGTTTCATTATAAATTATACCATTTCTAAGCACAAGGAATGCGAACAAAAGAAAAAAACTAATAAACTACATAAGAGTCACAACAGAATTCGAAAGAAGTACTTTATTTCTAGAAAGAATAGGAATGACATACCGCTAAAATCAATTTGAACATGAATTTAAAAAGAATATTTATCTGAACAGATCTTGATTATAGCCATAGAGACAGAAATAAAGAGATTTAGTGTTTAGTTAATGTGTAAAAACTGTGATTTCTCTTCTTCTGAAAGTTTTAAACGATAAAGTTTCGAAAAGAATTATATGATAATTAATTCTTTCAAGTTAACAATTACATTTTCTCAATTGTTTCTTCCTAGCAAATTGAACAATAACCAACCTGAATAATAAATAAACCAATGGAGTTCAACCAGGTCTGTTGTGAGATAGTAACTCACTGAACATAATGGTGGATATGTCGCTCAATTTCGTGGATTAGTTGAAATCAGACATTAACACCATTGGATGCCGGCCAGTTCAGTGGTCTAGAGGTTAAGAGTTCGTACGCAAGACTGATAGATCCTGGGTTTGGATCTCACGAGACGGGATCATGTATGCTCTTTTCTGAGGAGTCCCGCAATGGTACGAAACACCAGTCCAGTGCTTCCAGGATTTTTATGGTGGTCTAGCTTCAATTGACTGATGATCTCAACCATTGAAATTACTATAATATTCACAAAAACCCCTTCTGATATTAATAAATTAAATGTTTATTTATGTTATATATATTTCAATCATATCGTTTAAAATCTTGTTCAAGAAAAGTTATGAAAGAGTATATACAAAGGAATACTGAAACTAATAATCTGAAGGAAGATAAAGAGTGAATAAATCTGTACTATTGTGGCCGATTTTAAGCCACATCATTCATCGTCTCTAGTCACTGATCACGGTAAATTAGTGGACTCCAACCAAGTATTCTGAAAGTGTCGACATAGGTCAGAATAAAAGAAATCAATGACTTCATGAACTGAAGTCACATTTACGGTTAAGCCACCTATAGCTTTCTTTCAATCGATTCCGATACAACTTGACAAGATATGTCGAAATAGGTGAGAGCATGTTACTATATAATATATAAAATAACCAATTTTCTCAAATGTATAGAACTTAATTTTGAATACTATTTCTAAGTCACGAAAATGTGAGTCATTTACACAATAACTTTTCAAATAAGAAACATGGTTATTTGAAATAAGTTATTTATGTATTCTTTTTGTATGGTTAAACGGTATAAAACATTGATCCGTTATATTTGAATAATTGCCACGGTTACTTTTATGGTACAGTAGTTATGTCATAAATACACTCAACTTTACAGCTACAGATAAAGTTGAATTTCAATCTAAACTAGAAGCATAGAAAAGAAGTATAACTCTTCATTTGAGTATTTGGTAGAGTTTAAAATGAGTAAAAGCTTCATAAAACTAATAATCAGTTAACTATAAGTCATATTCTTCATTATGAAACTCATCCTGATTTTCATGAATCAATCCTCATATAATTAACCAAATTATTTGATCATCTATAAAAAAGACTTTTTAAAATGACCATAGCTTACTATATAAACTGCTAAAAATCTATTCTAATTGGTTTCATTGATAAATCATTAAACTTTATAATGGGAATCTGCACCGATCCTCAATCATAAATTACATCATCTATTGGACTCACCATTAATTTAAAGATAGCTTATCTCATAAACTGGGCATTATGTTGTTATAGTTTGTAACTGCCGATTAGAGAGTAGTGACTTAACGATCAGATCAAAGACGCGTAAACCTGTATGAACAGTCTAGAGTCCTGATTGGCCCTGCTTTCCGCCTAGCCCAGCCAGATAATTGCAGAACACAAGTCTCAGCCTCTGCTATATGAATCGTTATATTTCAAACATACTCTGTTTAAATACCAATCAAGCAGACCACATCGTACCATAAAGTAGAAAATAACATTTGTACAATATTTGGCTAACAAGGAAATGATACGTGAAATGAATATTGACCAATAGGAAGACGATATCATTTCAAGTCCAAGGATAGCATTAGACTTAACAGGATAATTTTTGGGATATTTTTCTGAATATCCCAACACAGGTGAAGAACAATGGAATAATAAGAGGATTATTGGATAGTTATTTAATTAATTTTTTTGAAAAAGCGTAATTCAAACAAATTAATCTAGATATCATGGTAAACATGTGAGATCTTCTGTATCAGTCAAGTGGAAAGTTCAATAGTTCACTTTCGAAGCTCTAATTAAATTACGATATAACGTGAAGATCATTCGAAATCATCAATGACAACTGTCATACTTTCAACAGTGGTAAACTTTGGCTCTCATGTTTTCAATAATTTACATTGACAACCGTCAAATTTGTAGTGTTGATAAACTGATAACCAGTTAATTGGTACTGATTATACAATCTAGTGTTATATATATTACTAAAAAGGTACTTACTTACGGCTGTTACTCCTCACGGAGATGCATAAACTGCCCACCAGCATCCTCCATCCATCTCTGTTCTAGGCAATCTTTTCAAGTTGAGATTTATCCTTTCCATATCTGTTTCCAATTCCCGACGTAGTGTGTATTTCCGCCTTCCAGTGTTCCGCTTCTCTTCAGGATTCCAAGTTGGGGCTTGCATCGTGATGCAATTTGATTATTTCTGTAATAAGTGTCCTACCCATCTCCAACGCTTTTTCCTAATTTCCTCTTCAGTTAGAAGCTGGTTTATTCTCTCCCGCAGTAGGCTGTTGCTGATGGTATCCGGCCAACGGATATTGAATATCTTGCGTAGACGATTGATCAGAAATACGTATAACCTTTTGATGATGGTTGTAGTAGTTCTCCAAGTTTCAGCTCTGTACGGTAGAACTGTCTCGACGTTCGTATTGAAGAATGTAACTTTGATATAGGTTAACAGTTGTTTTGATTTCCATAAGCTTTTCTTTGCCAGTCCTCTCCTTTACGTCTCCATCCGATCCTCTTCGTTTATTGATGATGCTTTCCAGGTATGTGGGAGTTTCCACAACTTCCATAAATATATATCTTCCTTACTCAGGCTTATATACAGCTAATCTTAAATTCTAATGAGGAATACTAATGAGAAAATAACTTGAAAGAAAAATCCTATTTTTTTTAAAGATTTTTTCTCCCTAGAATATCGTTCAGTTGTTTAGATTGTATTTTATTCATTTTTTTCCCTTCATTTATTAATTAAGAATTTAATAAAGATCTTTCTTACATGTTGAAATAGAAGAAGTTCATGTCATTAAAAATTCAACAAATTCATTTTAAATTAGTTTATACATTTTTTTTTAAAAAAAAGACGAACTTTACAATGTCAAATAGTCTACGTTACTTGCAACTAATCAACAGTATACACATTTTTTTTGGGGGGGGGGGTTGTTTGTTTGTTTGTTATTTGTATATGTGCGTGAGTTGGTGTTGCCATAGAAATTATGGAGGAAAAAGATAAGAAATTATATATAATTCAATAGAATTGTGGGTTTTTTTTTCAATATGACATTCTTCCCGTTCATATTCTGATACTACTAATATAGTAACATTATCTATTATTACTTTGATTGCCTTTGCTGACAACTGACTAAAAATCTATACACAATTGCACACATTCCATTCATATATTCAAATATACAACAACTAACTATGGATAATACAAATAGAAAAGTATTAATCGTATTCATGAAAATTATGATATTTTGTACTTTCTATAAATGGTTCTTATTTTCACTATTTCATCATCCCTTCACTCTCGCACAAACACACACACACACGCATACACCAACACAACTAGATAGTTTCTTTTCCTAACTTATCTTGAATCTTTGAATATATATCCATAATTATTATTGCTTTAAATATTTGCACGAATTTCAGAAAGTATACATAATGATAAAAACAACAACACTACTACTAAAAATAATAGTAGTAATACAGTAATTATCAGTAGACAAGAAAATTTCTATTTTTCAAACTGCCTTTCCTGCACTTTTTTCACTCAGTTCATTGTTTTGTTCTTAAGTAGATAACCAGTAGTATTTTTGAAACTGAAAAAAAGCTTGACGTGATATCTCAACGGAAAGTGATATATATATATATATATATATATATATATATAGAGAGAGAGAGAGAGAGAGAGACGGCATGCAATCCTACTACATACTACCATACATAAATACATGAGTATGACAACTTGATGAACACGATAGTTTAGTCGAATGTGGAAATTCCATTCTTTATATGCATTCGGTAATAAGTTACAATGCAAATAGAAAACATTAAACCAAATCAATATGACTGGTTTTTTGTCACCATACATCTTACTGTTTTACTATTATGTAGAATAAAGCAAAAAGAACAAATGAAAATACTCGTGTAAAAAAGAGCTAAACATTTTCTTTTTAAAATAAGTGACAATAATCCATAGTGATGACTATCATTAATAACTGTGAGTTGGAAATTGATGAATATTTTGTTCGTTTTAAAACGTTTTAATCAATAAAAAATAAACAACGTTAATAGTTTTGTATCTTTCGAAAACAGAAAAAAGAAATCAGTATAGGGGTTGTGGGAAAAAAAACCCAGTTATTCGAATGGTTTTATGCAACAAAAAGAAAACAGAGATCAATTCATTCACGTATTAGTGTTTTCTTTCTATCATTGAAGTGATATGTTGCTAAGGCTTCTGAATCTTTAAAAGTATAACGTATTGCGGGAAAATCAATTTAAAAGAATAATTTACATATGAAAGTAAAACAATTTTCGTTTATTTACTTCTGTACTAATTAATTCAATATAATTTTCTTGTATTGGTTTCCATAGGATGTGGTTTATATTAACTTATTAACTGTGATTTTGCGCTTAAATAACGATTATTCAATTGATAAACTTTATAACTAATGATTTTTGATATTAAGATCACGATCTTAGTAAAACAATCAATGAAACCAGGAGGAACTGGAAAGTTTCGAGGCTTTGACCTTTACACCAATTGAGCGTTTGTTGTGGAACCGAAAGTCCTGATTTCTATTCCAGATAGGGTCATGAATGCTCATTGATGAGGGATCACATATAGAAATGAAAAATTTGCGCATTGGGGAGAATCATTCGAGCATGTGAACGTTTTAAGCGCTTTACCCTAAACCTGGTCACTTTTCGGATTATTAATTTGGATACATAATTGTTGAAACTGAATAGAATTTATTGAAAAGAATATTCTTCATTCATATATTAGTCTTTTATTATGATGTTGATCTACAAACAACTAATGAAAACTAATTTTTATAGTAGCTATACGAACTAATGTTGGTTTGTAGCTAAGTACATCAACTTCATTCTCCCCGAGAATCCCAGAGACCTCTCATTTGATGCAACAGTTGTTAAAACTAGAGCTTCGATTCTTAATATACCACGTATATTAACATAAGCGCTCGAACGCTAGAACACTCCCAAGTCGCAAATGAGAAGACAGAAGACACGCGAAAGAAATGCTATTCCAAACAGTATCAATTATGATACAAATTTATAAGGTATTTATAGTTTTTAGTAAAAATGAAATCATCATTGTAGTCCTCCAATCCGCATACAGGGGGTTATTAGCATCTGTCCAATAGGGAAGCTCCACGTAGGGACTTTGGAATATTCTTCCGAAAGATGATTGGGTGGGATATCTTCGGCTCTTTCTGAGCTAAGAAGATTCCCTGGGTTCACCCGTGGACTGTCCTCATAACTTACCTTTAAACTATGTAAAATCTACATATAACTATCCACTTTGAAATGGTTTCTTATCTCTTTATCGATTACTTAATCCAAAAAACGTGTGCCAATTTAAATTAAACAAACCTTCATGCGAGAAATTCAGCTCCAATTATTTCGATTATTTATCGAAAATTCACTGATTGATCATTTAACAATAACCAATATTGTATTGTTAGACCTTGATTGCTAATTGAATTCTATCATCCAAGTTACAATATAGCAATTATTGATACTATAACACTGTGTACTTCACTTGATTTTAAATGTTTTGAAGAGCTCACTATATGTTATTTGAAGCACAGATTGGCATTTCTTATCAACGAGATATATCAGCAATATTTGGAGAACTAACACTCCTAGCGTTATATGTATACGTACTATGGCCCAGGGTTTTCTGGAAATTTCAATCATGGTTTTAGTATTATAAGCAAAGATGGATAGTGGCTAACAGTGGAAATCAGGACGCCTGTTTCGACCTATTTAGGACTCGTCAACTGGATGTACCCGCATCTGAGAGTTAATGTTCACCCCATGGACTCGAACCTTATACCGTTCTTTTCAAACGCCATCGTGTTATCTAACCATCTTTGTTTATAATACTTGTAAAATAGGGTAATATCGAGGTCATCCACATAGGATGAACATATACCAATAATAGACTGATCAATTTCAATCCTAAACATCAATGAGAAGATTCAAATAAACAATACAAAATGAATCATGACTTAATTATTTCAAATTATATTACTATTTGTAATTGTCTAGAATAAATAATATTCACTTCATAATGACCACAGTTTTATCACCCAACAAACATTAGAAATAAATAAACAATTCAGAATATAATAAAACATAAAACCATAATGATGATCTTACAGCGATATCTTTTCTGGTTTTACATGAGTTCATATTCATGTACATTGATTTCATGTTTTCCAATGTATACAATACACCTTAGTAAATCAATGAATAGTTCAAATTTCCTTTGATAGAATATGGATGGTGATGATGATGATGATGATGACGTAACTGTAGATATCAAAATGAATTGAAATAGTCTGGAAAGTAACATTAAAACAAAAAACAGTTTACGGTTGAATAATTTTGGAATCATATTTGAAACATAAATAAATAAACTTTTAAATAGACAATAAAACTTTCCAGTTTGTTTTATGCTTGGATATATACTAGTAGAAAAATGTGATAATCGGTTGGTGTGGTGACAAATGATGACAATAAATGACAAAATCACAGAATATGATTATAGTGGGTGAACTAGTGATTTCCTCACAAAACTGTTGACTTTTTCCAAATCCCAACCGAAAAATTGTAGGAAAACTGGATACTTAGTCAATTGATTGAATATATATAAATAGAGAGATATAAAGCTGTTATTTATATTTAAACTTTCATACATTTAGACCAATTTGGTTGAAAAACCACTGAAAATCAGTAGGCCTAGTCTAAGTATCATCAGCAGTGCGAATTCGTGGCTTTCCCTAGTAACTAAAGCCGGAAAATTCAGGTATTGTTTCGAGCTCTTATTATTTAGACTTTTAAGTTAGTGTCCAATGGTTTATATTTCTAGCTGCAGTGAATATAATATTAACAACGAATTATGAGTAGTATCAGTAACAAGATTGCGGCATTAAAACAATCGAATGAAATGCGACAGCAGTGGATTATCTGTTATTTTATATATTAGGTATCTGGTAGAGACATTATAAGTTGTCGGGTAATAAGCAAATAATGAAAAGTGTAAACCACCAACCAACCAACAAGCATCCGATTCTGTTACATTTGTGAAATAGGTAAAAAAAACCGTGAACATAACCGAGACAGGTGTGGGGAAGTTACTCACCAAAGACAAGGGGAAGTGGTGGCTCAATACCGCGGATGACGGCTTATTGGTCTAGAGTTTGAGCGTTCGCTCACGCAACCAAAAGTCCTGGGTTCGATTCCTGTGCTCGGAGTCGGCGATGGGCACTACTTAGAAGAGCCATACTAGGACGAAACGGTTGTTCAGTGCTCCCAGGTTTTCAGTGGCCATCGGTTCATGATTTCAATGAAACACAAATCTGTCAGACATCAATCGAAAGTTTTAGTTTTACAAACGAGGATCTTATATGGTTTCATAAATGCTCTAGTAATACATAGTTGGACTATACACATGAGTTAAAAATGCTTGTACACTTATTATATATGTTCACAAATGACTATCATCCATTGCACTTTTGAACTATTAAACTCAGTGGCAATATTATGTATTCTGACTAATATATTTCATTTAGAATTGAGAGCTAATTTGTTACAACACTTTTAATGAAAACATTATATCAACAAGTCAGTATACTTGTGGTATGAACATCATATACTGGAATCAGCTAGAGAACTACTGAGTGAGATATTTATTCATTGGCTCTCATTTAAATCACTTGATCAGAATTATAATTCATAAATTTTAGTTGTTTGAATGATGACATTGTTCGTATACAAGATTTCAATCGTGAACTAAGTAAATGAAACAAAAAAACTCAAGGTCTGCCATGAAATCCAATCAGTTTGATTAAATCAATATTAAAAATATGAAAATATAATATCGTTTCAATGGTTGAGATCATGAATCAATTGAAGCTAGACCACCATGGAAAACCTGGAAGCAATGGACGGCTGTTTTACCCTATTGTGGGACTCCTTAGTAGTGTGCATCCATGACCTCGTCTCGCGAGGTACTTCTAGGTTTTCTATAGTGGTCTAGCTTCAATTGACTCATGTTCACAACCATTGAAATTACTATAATATCCACAAAACCCTTCTGGCATGATATTATTTATTACACAGCAGCAAATTAATACAAACATTTTTATCATACAGATCAATCATTAATCAACTAGTTCAATAATGATATCTGTGACTACTGAACTCAATATTTGAGGTTCACATCTCCAATGAAGTATTATCACTTAGAATTGAATGTATTCACTGTGACTGATAAGTTACAATAACTATTAAACCTAAATCTACAACATTTTGTCAGTAGCTAACAACATACTGAATAAAATAAAAACTTTTATTCATTTAATGAAGATGATAACAGATTAATGATTCATAAAATAATCAAATAACGTTTCTTTCTTAACAGAAACGAATTACAAATAGAAAAAGAAGTGAGTTAACAACGATGAAGAAAAGTAAGTCTGAACTAAAGTAAACAATCAATTGAAGTAAAATATAAATAAACAATAAATCACACTTTCTACCTTTTCTTTTCTAAAACAAAAATTGACAAAACTAAAACACAACAAACAGTAGGTATATCTAAATCATAAATGGTATCAGTAACAAACGATGTCATTATTAGAATGAAATGATAGTTAGTAGTAGTAGTAGTATTAATAGTGTGGTATATGCTACTTAGGCTGACAGATATGAGTAGTATGTAGCCCCAATCAGAAGAAAATTTAAATGAGGAGAACAATAAGAAATTCACAGAGTAATCGAAACAACAACAGAATCAAAAGAATAATGGAGTATTTAAAGAACGATGCAAAGAAGATGTGCAAATGATGTATTTAATGTATGATTTTCATATTTCACGAAGTCACTCTGTAATTTAATGTTAAACAATAAGTTGGTTTTCCCTACTAAGTATTCGTTCGCCACATTAGTAATGGAAGCGCATCAATAGATCATCTAAACTGATACTATTTGACTCTTTTTTCGCCTTATAAATAATGATAATGATAAAAAGACATTTATGTAGAGATAACAAATCTTTAGGTGAATAAATAGTTTCCTATTCCCTTATTCACCTTGCCTAAATTTCTAAACAATACAAGTCTTTTACATGCATTCTCTCAATTAGTTAACAAGTTTTTCATTTCAGTGTGCTGATATGGTGTGTGTGTGTGTGACAATTTACACTAATACAAACGTATATATTTCAGGTTCTATGTTCTTCATGATTTAGTAACTTACTTACTTACTTATTTATGCCTGTTACTGCCAATGGAACATATGCCGCCGACCAGCATTCTCCATCCCACTCTGTCCTGGGCCTCCCTTTCTAGTTATATGCAATTTTTGTTCATTTTTCTCACCACTGTCTCCATTTCTCGACGTAATATGTTCTTTGGTCTTCCTCTCCTCTTTTGGCATTCAGGATTCCATGTAAGTGGTTGTCTTGTGACACAGTTGGGTGCTTTCCTCAATGTGTGTCCTATCCACTTCTAGCGCTTCTACCTAATTTCTTCCTCCACCTGAATTCGGTTTGTTCTGGACAACGGATCCGATGTATTTTGCGTAGACAGCTGTTAATAAACACCTGTATCTTTTGGATGATGGCTTTCGTAGTTCTCCTGGTTTCCGCCCCATACAGTAGAACTATATTGACATTTGTATTGAAAATCCTGACCTTGGTGTTGGTTGACAGTTGTTTTAAGTTCCAGATGTTCTTCAGTTGTAAATATGCTGCTCTTGCTTTGCCGATCCGAGCCTTCACATCTGCATCAGATCCACCGTGTTCGCCAATGATGCTGCCCAAATATGTAAAGGCTTTTACATCTTTTAAATCTCCACCAAGTAACTAACTGACCAATTAACTAATCAATTAATACAAATGTACACATTTACATTGAATAGATAATTCAAATATTCAATATTTTCATGTTCATTTCTTTATAGTTTTATTTTTAATTATTCAATTAGAATCTTTTTTTAAAGGGTAAACTATGAATTACTTTTGATGACTACTACATATGTATGTTAATTTATTATGAGTAGTTTGTATGGAGATTGTTTAATTTTGTAAAATGAGATATTTGAACTATCATGAACTGATTTTAATGAGAAAGCTATTGAACTTCAGGGAATATGGAGTACTTAATATATATAAATTCTAATACAACTAAACATCAGAAACATATGCGTGACATAGATGAAAAAAGAGTAATGCTTAATAAAATTAAAGGAGAGGATAGTGATAGGTGAATGAAAATAGTATATAATAAGAGATACCATTAGATTTTAAATATGACCAAGAAAGATATCTCTCAATTGAGCTAGTTTTCCTAACTTTTGTAATGAATTTAAAAGAAAACTACATCAGAAACACCATTGCTTTTATTCTGGATCAAGTCTGATAATATCTCAAACCATGTCGTTATACCACTTAAAAGATATCCATCAGGAATTAGTAATGGATAGCGAGATTGAACGTTCGATATAGTATCATTTCATACAATGGTGCTATGTTATAGTCGAATTATCTATTTTCTTCTTTCGACTAGTCTCAGTGTTGACAGATAATTTACGATGAAGAGGTACCTGAGATGATGTTCATAAAACATGTCCAAGTCACAGAATCCAGTGTTTCACAATGGTGGTACCAAATAAATTTTCTTTACTGTATCCGAATACATATTTCCAAAGTTTACCATTAATAACTTGTTTTTGCTACTGGATATTATGAATCCTTCGGAGACAAAGATAATTGAACGAAAATGTTTTCCGAACATACTCAGCTCGATGACGTAATGTTGCAATGACATACGGCGAAACGGCTTACACTAACTAGTTGTAGAATCGACCTTTCACAACTAGAATAACAGTAAGAAGGCTCCTAGATTGCCATGAGCCACTTTAGCTTTCACTATGCCTACATTTGTTTAACTTGTCAAGCCAATGCCAGCATTCACATAAAGACTTAGAAACAAGAACATTCTGACTAGTGTTAAATGATTACTGAAAAGATTAAGTGCAAGTACATTCTTGTGATTAACTGCCTACATTTTTATGAAATTTTCGATGTAAACTCACAAAAAGCTCTGTTCAACGTGATTAAATGTTTTCGATAAAATTTGTTTATAACATCATTGATTTTAAGCTCATTTCACTCCATGTTATAATCAGAGGAGTTATTAATAAGTAAA